CATAGCCCAACATTGCAACTATTGCACATATAACGACTTTCTCTTCTCTTTCTTTTACCTTTACTATCTCTTTTTGAAGAACACATAGCACAACATCTTGAGGGACTTTCTTTTTTTGGTGTTGGCGGAATAATACTGGGAAAGTGACGTTCTGTTAGACGTCGTTTTTTTATATTTATTTCGCTATGGTAGTTTTGAATAAGGCTTTCGACCAGCTTGCTCCTAAATTCAAAATTAGATTTCTCGCCTCTATTTTTTTTATACAAAACGTACGCGTTCCAAATACTAATGTGGAGTAAATGAAAAAATATTTTTTTATAATATTTTTTACCCCTCTTCCTAATAATAGGATAATCATGTAAATGTTGATCCAAACGATCAACGCCTCCCATTGTGTCGTTATAGTCTATCACCAATTTTGGCTTAGATATAACATTACCATCTTTATCTGCTTTGCTTGTTGCTGCTTTCTCTGTATTATGCACCGTGGATAACAAACAGATGTCTCTTTTGTCTTGCCACTTCATTACCATCACTTTTCCACGTTGAGCAGCTACCATCTCGCCCTTTTTCAATTTTTTAGTTTTAATAAATTGTGGTATGTCTTTTCTATTTTTTCTAACGGTACCATAGGTGTCGGTTTTATTTTTTACTAAAAAATCTGCCAATTGTGGTGATGTATAATAGTTATCTGTGGTGAGACAGTAGCCTTGGTTCAAAAGTGGTTCGAGCAACGACACGACAATTTGAGACGTAACGGGCATGTCTTTATATTTCACATCTATTATTGTGCCTTTTCCTGTATATATTATAAATGAAAAAAGATAGCCACTTTTAGATTCGCACAATAAATATAATTTTATCCCAAACCTAGCTCTTTTTAGTGGAATATATTGCACCCATCCTAAACGACCTTTATAGAGCATTAGGCTTTCATCAATTGTTACATCTCTTTCTGGGATGTATAAACTAGAGCATTTGTTGTTTATTATTTCAAAAATGGGCCAAATTATATATAGCTTTGGATTGGGATGTGTATTGCTGTCAAAAGTGTTGTTGTTGCAGAAATGTAAGTTCCGTTTTATATTTGTGTATCTTCGGAGGTTCATCAGTTTTGGAAAAATAGGTGTTGGGGCGTCACAGCGTCGTCAATAATAGCGACGAATTATGAC